TTCTTCCCTTGAGTTGTTTCTCCCCAAATGTATCACAGAAAAGTCATAATCTATTTTTTTAAAGAAGATTTATTTTGGATTAAGTGATTTCATGATGCAACATGGTTTTAAACAAAATAGAGATCAGTATGAAAATAAAATAAATTGTACACATTAAAATATCTTTCCTTCAAAGCATTTCAGAATCATAAAAAAATACAACACAAAAGCCAGGGGGTCAGATGAGGATAAGAACACAGACTTTGCAGAAAACAAACAAGGAGTCTACATGTCAGAGTTCCAGGCTCCACTTAATACCACCCGAGAATCACTTCTAGGATGTCAACAATCCGCATTGTTTGCTTTGAAAAAAAATAAAAGATGAACTTTAAATATAAGGTGAAATGAGAGCTGTATAATCTTAATGCCAATAGCAAATGTCTCCTGCTATTATTCTCTATGAAAAGTCACATTGACTAGGTATGAATTCTAAATCAACTCAACGAAATAGAAACATAGCGATTACCTGTGATACATGGTGTGGTAGACACAGTAGGTGGAGGTGGTGAAAGGAGATGGCAAGGCTTTAAAAAAATACATCACCTGGGCTCTACTGAAATCTTAGAAATAAATATGTTTTTTTTTGCAGAGCCTTCATATTAAAAAGTAAGCATTATTATAAAATTCGATTAATACTTTCAGTAAGAGGCAAGAGAGATGCATGTATTTTCATTTACTTTGGAATGCCTGCATCCCTATTGTAAAAACATGTAATCTTATGTACGTTCCAAATATTAACAGCCTCAAATTTTACCTATGAGAGCATGTAAAGAAACATAAATAGGTTGTAATAACATCTTTTAGAGCATTAAGGTCCTAAAAGAACATTTGGTTCTTAGTTAATCCTTCCAAGGTATTTCTTGAATGTTATTCACCACCCCCCCCCCTTTTTTTTGCAGAAGGTGATAGTAACCAGAAGTTTACTGATGATTCCTCATTGGCATCAGTGGCAGCCGATTCAGTTTGAATCACACAACATACAGATCAACATGCCTCAGGGTTGTAATATCTTCAAAGAAAAATCAGAAAGACATCGCCTGGCCAAGGCGACCAGAAGTAAAAGCCACGCACATGAGTGTAGTGTTCCTGTGTTCCCCGGGACACGGGGGCCGGCCCATGCTGCTGACCTGCCCATCATGACAGCCAACTACTCCGCATCGGAAGTCTAAGCAAATGTCTTTTCAGTCTTGATTCACTTCCTGAAAAGCTGGAAACACTGACTAGGTCTCCATTTGAAATTCAGGAACCCAGTTCTTAGGGTTTCACCTTCTAGACCAGGGGTGGGCAAACTTTTTGGCTTGAGCGCCACAATGGGTTCTTAAACTGGACGGAGGGCCGGAACAAAAGCATGGATGGAGTGTTTGTGTGAACTAATATAAATTCAAAGTAAACATCATTACATAAAAGGGTACGGTCTTTTTTTTTTTTAGTTTTATTCATTTCAAACGGGCCGGATCCGGCCCGTGGGCCGTAGTTTGCCCACGGCTGTTCTAGACTAACAGAGGGCACTGAAGTCACCACTAGAAACCATGAAAATGTCTCAAAAGCTCTTCGAGTGCCAAAGAACGCCCACTGGGAAACACATTCCATGGAACAAGCCAAGCCACGCCGTTGCCTCTATTTCATGTACGAAGTTCAATAGTAGCAACAAAGCTCCTTAAGCTTAAAAATGTCCACAATGGGATTTAATGCTAAATCACTGACTCCCCTGATGGGAGCTCTGGCTGGCTCTAATAGTGGGGGCTACGTTCTGTTTCGCAATCCCAAAATGTCATCGACCCGCCGCACTTAGAAAACGGGCTATTCCCAAGAGGGGGGGTAGCGAGCGGCGCCCTCATTAGGCACCATGGCACGCTTTTCCTCAAAGTCAGAAACCAGACTCACTGTTTGCTCCGACCCCACCAGCAAACCCTACAGGATCCTCCCTCCCTTGTTTCAGCTTCCCCGTTACAGCCCTCCCTTCACAACTGCTAGTCCACACGCTCCCGGAATGCAGTGACCACCCCTGTCTGGGCTGTTGTCAGTAATTAGCACTGCGTCCCTGGCGGGCAGGGCACTTCTTTTTTGCTTTTTCGTGTTTTTTTTTATCACCCAGCAGGGAGCAGTTGGTTGGCTTTCAGCCACCATTTAGAAATGAGAAAGCTTTACTGTTTCCGGGACCCCTCTGCTTCCGTGTTAGACAAACACACCTACCTGGAAAGCACAATCGAACTGCACAGTTAATGGATTTTGCAAAAATTGAAAATTAATTGGAAGTGACAGTCTCGATTTAAACTCAAATTCGATGGGAGGAAGGTGCCTGAGATCTAGTGTTCGCACTCATCATCTAAATCAGAAAGCAGGTCAGAGAGAACGAAGGGCGTGCAGCTCACTCGGTTTGGAGATGAGTCCTCACTTGCGTGCTGTGACTGTGCAGACTCACACATCTCTCTTAATGAGCACATAGCATCATTTCACCTGCCTGGGGGATTTCCTGGATGGGGTTTAAACTGGAAAGACTTTTAGACTCTTCATTCAAAGATGTTTGTCTTAGTTAGAAGTGGTCACGTTCTAAATACAATTTGTGTAGAAAGAAAGAAAAAAATGGATGAATGTGAGGACAGAGAGGGAAAAAAAAACCCCAATCCTGCAGTAGTTTCTTCATCTACTTCACTGCCACTCTGCTACCAGGGCTTTCTAGACCCATCCTTCCTAAAAATGAAAAAATTAAAATAAAAGAAGGCTTTTGATTAAAGTCCTTTTTCCCATGATGTTGCTTCCAAATAGTATTTGAGAAAACTCAACTGCTATACTACATAAATCCACCAAAAGCAATCACATTGGCATTCTGCTTTTCATTACTTATAACTAATAGTAAAATGCAACCGTTAAGCGTATGGGGAGTTTTTTTTCCAGGAATGTACTGTGCTCATTTCTTCATGGGCTTTTCTGAGGGCGTCACATTTTAGAGTGTTTGAAAAAGTGAGCCTTTGGTAGGTGAATCATCTTGCAAAATTCACTGAAAGCGAAACATGCTGGTAGAAACATTAGCCTCTCCATCTCTGGTGGCGAAACCTAGAATTGTAACTATAAAGTACTGAAACATCTCACCAGCCAGCTGCAAACACCAGCCTCAAACCAGATGGGATGTGGTACCTTCGACCCCACGAAGTGTGTGAGGATGGAGAGATGATGCCCCGGAAGTCCTCTGACACTCTAAAGTGAGACACAAACAGGTGCGACCATTGCCATTCATCATCTGAACGCCGTTTTACCATAAGGATTCTTATGCAGGTGACACAGATTTTCCTTCACTTATTACAGAATTTCTACTAAGTCGTCATAAGCACAACAGATGCTAGAAAACAATGACCACGCTTCTCTGACCAAGATCCATTCGTTTTTGCACAAGAAAAACGTTTCGACCCCAGAAGCGGGTTGGGCTCGGGACTGGTATTTCTCACAGTGAAAACGGAAGGTACACTGGAGTGCAGACCAGAGGAACCGGGAAAGGGCACATCTCACTGGGGCATTTCTTGGACAATTTGAAGACCCTCCAGTTGTTCCTTCAGGTTCAGCTCCCCACACGCACACTTCAAACCCTTATGCATGAATGCACCATGGGCTCCAGCACTTGACCCGTACCAACACGCTATGACATGCCTTTAGCCGCAACAGACAGGGCATTATGTGACCTTCCTCCCTTCCTTCCTCGGCTACAGTAGTGCCCATGTATGAAGCCTTCAGTGACTTCCCAGATGGAGCAAACCATTCTCTTCTCCTCCCTTGATGGTAGAACAAACCAAATTCTATTGAAAAGACTTTTTTGAACCTTGGTGTCTACTCCTCTAGACCATGAACTTCTCAAGGGCGGATTTCGAATTTGCAGCTCCATGATCAGACACAGTGGCTGACATGGGCGAATACCAACACTGTGCCTCTCCTCTCATCTCAGAGATTCTCTGCGTACGTACATGAAGCATCGTGACTGTCTTTTATGCTATAAGACGGGGCGGTATGAGTATCACTTAAGAGCTTCTTAAAGGAACAAGGCCATATAGCGAGTTACCCAGTTCACAGTCCAGAAGAAAAAATATATGGATATTTCTAATTGTAGAGTATATTCAAGACTAAATTATTCTGTAGACATGATATTTAATATTCTAGAAAGTGATTATTGGAGTTTTTGTTTTACTAGTGGAAAAAATAAGGTCAGTAACCATGGTGTTTTGATAGGCTAAGTACATCTTTGAGAATCCCCAATTCTGAGAACAGTAGCAGCTAGGTGCTTATACTGTTATACGAGAAGTTAGACGCCCTAACAAATAAATATATTTCTTAGAAATAATTAAAGAGATACACTTTACTTCAAATTTCTTTTACCTGATAATGTGGAGTATGGTAACCAAGTGTCACAGCCCAAAATGAAAGCTCACGTGGTCTAGGAATGTATTTTTGAAAGAAATGCCACCTTCGATTTCAGCTGTTTAGAGAATGCCGGCTCTGAAACATCACATTACCATAAAAAATGTCGTTTTTTCATATGATTTCCCTTGTATCAAGTAAAAATAATTTGCAAAATTGAAAATACTTACATTCATGGTCAGTAAGTACACACTAATTGTTCCAGTTAAAAGTTTTTCTCTTCCCTTAGTTCCTGGTCCAATGACAGGACACAGGTACCCCTTCCCTCCCTACCTGCGGGCTTTGGGGTCTTTATTTCAGAACATTCCCCGCCCGGCAGCATCTGCCTCTAGTGCAGGAACGCAGCCTGAGTGGCTCTTCTCTCGAGACTCCAGCAGTAAATGCAGCTCACCCAACAGGGGGGCCAATCTGCTCTTAAGACCAACCTACAAAACCCACGCACGTGACCTTTACAAAGTGTAAGACCGCCAACATCCCCCAACGAGGATCCCACGGCTACTTAGAGCTCAGAGAAGCGGTCGGGCAATGCCTGTAAAACCATAGGCTGGCAAACCAAATGTTAATCCAACGCTTTTATTATTCACCATTTAACTTCGCTGCATTGAACCTCTGATGAGTTATGGCCATACGTCCAGAAATAAACAACGATGTGGAAAAAACCCGAAAGCAGTAGAAATGAAGGACACCCTCTGAGAAAACTAAGCAAGTGTAACGTGAGTGGTGTCATGCAATGTCCGAGGTATCCTAGAAGACCTGTTTCCTTATGTTGATAAGGAATTTATGCATCGGTGAAAATGCAGGCTTGGAAATAGAGTACTGAGGGTTTCCGTTTGTGATGTCTTCACTGACGAGGGAGATGGAATTCTCGTACTAAAGAGAGCTGACCCCTTAGGTGTTGCTGATGGCTCCCTCAGTGAGCCTGGTGTTTCACGATGCTGTACAAATAAAAAGCAGGGGGGGTGGGGTACGAAATATCTTTATTAAATGCCATCCTGTAAAGTATTTGATGGATGGAAGAGTCTAATGCATTTTAAATAAATGCATATCGTACTATTCACATATCGTGAGTCTTAAAAAATTATTACTTAGATGCACAGTCCTGTAGTGGTAGACATGGCACTGTGGAGAAGTCTGACTTTTGAAGCTGTTTCCTGTTATACTTGTCCAGTGATGGAGTTGCTGTCAGTCATCTTGTAACGTCCTTTCAACTTTGGTACATTCAGTGCAAAATATTTCGGGGAATTTTTTTGTACCTTTAGAAAAATAAAAGGCCCTTTGGTTCCCTGGACAGTGCTTAAAAGGATACCTACTAGCATGATGCCCAAGTAAGCATGGAACATGGAAATGGATCGGGCGACACGAACAGTAGGACAGGTGGGTTCCTATATACACCTTAAAGAACATAAATGTCATGAACCTATAAAAAAATGAACAGAACTCACTGTGGACTTTTTTCTGATATGCTGTGAGTTAATTGCTAGTTATTTAAAATTGTTTCCATGCATTAGAAAGCATACAATCTGTCGGTAGTAATTCACTGTGGAACAGTTTGTCTCCAGCCATAATGACACACAGACCACTTTGCATCTCCATCGTCACAGACCACCTTATTGCAAATCTTTAAAGTTGCCTCATGTTGACTTGGTTTCATTTCCACTCGGGTCCCGTGGAAGCTGAAACCTGCGTGCAACACCATGCAGGCACACATAAGCAAGAAAAGGAATATTCTGTGATAACTTGGGGCTCACACAAAGGGACTTTTGGGAAATACAGGTGTTTTTATTCCATTATTGAACTCGCACTAATTTGGAGATCGGGTCAAGGGCTGCGGTTTGGCTTGAATCACGTTCAAGGTTAAGTTTCAAGATTCTCCCAAGTCCCTGCACAGTGACCTTGAGCTGATCCGCACAGGTTCATCTTGGTCTTGGAACGCAACGAATGGGAAGAAGCATGGGAGTCGGGACCTGCTGATTGAAAGACTGTGGGGTTGTCCCCTGGGCATCAAGCTCACCCCCATCCTTCAGGGAGGACTCCTCACCGCGATCCAGTCCCCAGACGTGGCTTACGCTTGTCAAGTGAAGGCGTTACTCAGACGGAAGCCCGCTCGGACCCTCCCGGTGGTGGGCTGTCCTGGGAGGGCAGCTTCCCCAACTGCCTGTCCCCACGCAGCCGGGCACCGGGCTTCCGGTCACTCAAGTCCAAAGGTGCTGGTCTCTTCAACCGCTGTCAGGAGCTTCTCATACAGCATGGAGAACGAGGGGTACGGGGGGAGGTCCAGGCGGTTGAAACACGTGTGAGCTCTGCGAACAGAAGAAGCACACGGAGCTTAGAATGCTTAGCGTGAAAGGAGATTGTCGTGTGCGTGTGCATGTGTGAACACTTGTGCGCACACGTGCACAAGCAAGTTGGTTTCTTGTCTATTTTCACACTCCTTTTGGAGAAAACTTTGAAAATATTTTGACTTGAAATTCAGAATTGAAAACAAAAACTCAGAATTAAATTTCTCTTGGGGAAACGGATATTTTAAAAGTGTATTTTCTTTATATTTTCACAACCACTGATCCATTTGACATACATATTCCTACTTGTTTAGTTGTCTCAGAATTACGAAGACAAGTGTGGTTTTTTGTTTCTCTTCTGACATTACTTTTTTTTTTAAACAGACATGTATATAGACTCTTGCAAAGACATTTATTTTCAGAATTGGCATTTGCATGGATGTTTCAGAAAATGTATGGTTTCATGGTTTTTCATTTTCTGGGGTAGGATGGGCACTGAGTGTCTCTGAGACCTGGCCATGGTGTGGATTCTCCGGAAATTCCCTGGCAGGACTTCCCTGTCAGTCAGGGCACCAGTGCCGATGCCTTTGAATCTGGTGTATAATCTGTTTTCTTCTAAATCACAATGCAAAACAATGGCCATTTAAAACATTACATAAAGTATTCTTTTTTAGAAATAACCACCCCCCCCCTTGCCTAGATAGGGGAAAACTATGCTTTCCTGTTATTTGCACCTGAATCACAATAAAAAAAATTGATGGTCTTCAAATAATACATCTTATCAGGAAGCAAATCTACACTTTGATATGGAACAGAAGGCACTTTATTATGAATGTACAACAGCTTGTTTGTAGAGCTAAACTTTGACTTAAATGCTCTTGCCCTGGCCCGGTAGCTCAGCTGATCAGAGTATCATCCTGATGTAAAAGGTTTGTGGCTTCAATTCTGGTCAGAGTGCATACACAGATCAACCAATGAAAGCATGAATAAGTGGAACAACAAAGCGATGCCTCTCTCTCTCTCTCTCTCTCTCTCTCTCTCTCTCTCTCTCTTCTCTCTCCCCCTCTTTCTCTCTCTCTCTATCAAAAAAAAAAAATAAAAAAAACGCTCCTGAATTAATATGGAATATCAAGAGCTATGTCTTAGTTAGAAGTGGTCAAGTTATAAATACAATTTGTGTAGAAAGAAAGAAAAAAAATTGGATGAGTGTGAGGACAGAGAGGAAAAAACCCAACCCTGCAGTAGTTTCTTTATCCACATCACTGCAAGTCCACTACCAGGGCTTTCTAGATCCATCTTACTAAAAATGAGCTCTTTTTACAAAGTCACATTTACAATTTTGTTCTTATATATCACTTGTATACTTATGAGATAAATAAATTATGTCCCTGGACGCAGTGTAGTGTGGTGGTGGGACGATCAGAGGTTTGAGACCTAGCTCTACCAACCAGGATGTGGAGTGAGTTATTAAAACTCTCTGAAACTCAATTTTCTCCCCAATAAAAAGAGAGTCACATCATTTGTCTTGGAAGGAGGTGAGGATTAAATGAAATGACAGAAACATGCTTAATACAATGCGTGGCTCATCGTGTTTGACCAATTAATAAGAGGTGTATTGTTAACTACACTTCCTGATCATCAAAAAGAGTCACTCTAATTGCCTTCATTGAGTTGCCAAGAGAGAATCATGACTCATGGAAATTGTGAGAGAACAAAAAAATAAGAAGGCAGGTGTGTGCCCACATGGCCTATTAGAAGCAGGAACGTAAAGAGGCTTGGTTATAAGACCAGTTTTAAGGCACAGCCACAGCACTCGCTCAGAGTTCACAGCTCTTGTTATTACAAACTCTAGGACATTTTGAGGGGAAATCATCTAATTAATATTTGCAGCCAAATACCTTTTTGTGATATAATAAACTATTTCAGGATTGCATTTAATATAACTCTTATACCTTCTTTACACTGGAACCTCAACTTGGGCCTCAGGGAAAAAGGTTTTACTTTCAAAAAATGGAACTAGCATTCTAAAAGGCAGTCCCGTCTACTTGTGTAAAACACTGGGATAAAAAGATTAAATGAAAACTTTATCTTTGTTTAGGGAGAAGGGGAAGCAGCAGCAGAGAAGTGAAATATGTTCTGACTATAATTATATTCCAGATTTTGTGTTAGACACATAACATTCATTATTCCATTAGACTAAAAGATGGTACTTCTTTTATTTTATTTTTGAATATATTTTTATTCTTATTGATTTCAGAGAGAAAGGGAGAAGGAGAGATGGATAGAAACATCAATGATGAGAGAGAATCATTGATCAGCTGCCGCATGCATGTCCGACACTAGGGATCAAGCCTGCAACCTGGGCATATGCCCTAACCAGGAACTGAACTGTGACCCCCCTGGTTCATAGGTCGACGCTCAACCACTGAGTCACGCCAGCTGGGCAAGATGGTACTTCTTTTAAATAAAATTTTTAGTTTTTTTCCTTTGGTTACCAACTAGGCTGCGCATCTTTCCCCAGATCAGTCTGCTTGTAACATTTTCTGATTTGTGATCTACGTGTTCATTTTCTTTTAATATATAGCACATTCTATGTGTCCTGCTGACCACTGTCAAGTGCACAGTTCTGTGGCATTAAGCATACTCACCTTGTTCTGCAACCATCACCACTACCATCTCAATCTTCCTGTCTTTCCAAACTGGAATTTTGTGCCCTTTGGTCACCAACTCCCACCCTCTCCTGTCCCTGCCACCACCATCCTACTTCCTGTCTTGGTGAATGTGACTACGCTAGGGACTTCACATAGGAGGAATCATACACTATTTGTCGTCTCTGACTGCCGTATTTCATGTAGCATATCCGTTTCCAGGTCCATGTTGTATCATGGGTCAGAATTTCCTTCCTTTTTAAGGTTGAAGAACAGTCCATTGTAGCCCTGGCCAGTTTGGCTCAGGGGATAGAGCATCGGCCTGCGGACTGAAGGGTCCCAGGTTCGATTCTGGTCAAGGGCACATGCCCAAGTTGTGGGCTTGGTCCCATGTGGGGGGCGGAGGGGCATGCGGGAGAAGCCGGTCAATGGTTCTCTCTCATCATTGATGTTTCTATTTCTCTCTCCCTCTCCCTTCCTCTCTGAAATTAATAAAAATATTTTTAAAAAGAACAGTCCATTGTATGTGTATGCCAGTTTGTTATTCGCATGTTGACAAACATCTGCTTGCTTCCATCTTTTGGCTACTGTACAAAATACTGTACAAAATGATTTCCGCCTCATGAGACACTGAGCAAAAGGCCCCAGCAAGCCACACCTGGACTTCTGAGCCACAGGAGCAGTGAGGTAATAGTTGTGTGCTGCTGTGAACTGTTGTGTGTGGTAATGTGTTCTACAGCAACAGAAAACGCCTACAGGTCTCAAGGTACCAGTCCAAGGAGAGGTGGCAGGTGTCCTGAGATTCAATAGAATCCCACCCGTCCAGGGCAGACAGGGGCAAGACTGGGGGTGAACAGCGGCCTTTTGCTCTCCAGGTCCCTGAGCACAGAAACAGGAATCCTGCCTGTGTCTGCTGTCCCTGCACTATCTTTGTAGACACTACTGTTAGCCCACAAATCCATAAGCCTGCGCACTCTTTTCTCTGAGGTTTCCGATCTCAACACAAAGGGAGGGACTGGACAACTTTCTTGATCCTCTTCGGTCAGGACAATCTCGCAGTTACTGATCCGTGACCGGAGGCTATCCCTGCCTCCTGATGTACAGCTGGTTGTAGAACATACGGTTACCGTAATGAAAGGTCCCTTCTGAGTAAGCTGGCCTGCTCCTCTGACAAATATCTCATGAGGATGGAGAAAGTACATCTTGTGAAGGGGGAAACTGCAGAAAGATTAAATGGTTTCCCCAAGGTCAAAGTTGAGTCAGTGGCCAAATCAGGACCGGGACCTCAGCCTTGGGTTCCTAGGGGAAGTCCAGCATCAAACCCGAAGCAGGGGGACTCATGCTCATTGGCTCAGTTCTTTCATTCTCGGACGCCTGGTAATTTCACCCCATCCCTGACGGCGAACCGCTAGTCCTCAAGCTCCTACCAGATTGCATACATTTTGAGGTCAGGGATTAGCCAAATAAGCTTCAAATGGCCTTTAAATGGATTGCTCAATGCCACTATGCAGTAGCTCTGGGGGAAATGGTCCACACGGGTCCATCCAAAACACCCTGGGAGATACCAGGGGATTTTTAGGTGCTTAGCTCTCCCTCGGGCTCCCCAGAAAACAGCTACTCAGAGTGATAGGAATCACCAGGAAGCTTGTTTACAATGGAGATTTGGGGCCACCCCCCGCCCCAGATGCTAATTCAGAAGGTTTGGGGTGGGCCTAGGGAACTGCCTGTGAACAATCACTCCAAGTGCGCCTGATGCAGGTGGTCTCCCCTGCGGAGAGGCACCGAGTGGGCTGGAAACAAGATATCTGCGCCGGCTTGCCACACCGCATTCTGTGCACTTGCAAAGAATTTCAAAACTCCTCATAAACAAGACAGCCTTGCTAATGAGGAAATTGAGGAATCGTGCGGTCAAGCACATTGCCCAATGTTTACCATCGACTTGCTGTATGAGCCAAAAACAGGAAGGAAAAAAACACAAAGCAAAACAAAACACAATCCTCGGAGGCTTTTCACACCCCCTCCCCCCCTCCATGTCCCAGGAAAACTCCAGCAGAAAAGAACAGGAGCCCCGGGGCTGTGTTGATATTGGCAGCTAAGGCACACCCATCAGGCTCCACGAAAGGACATTTTTCAAATCTCCCCGAGGCGGCCCCTGCGGGCTCTAATGAGTTTAACTCGTTTTGTGTTTTGTCCCCCGCAGCCAGAGCTACTCGTGGAGGCCGGGCCTGAGCCTGTCTGTGGCTCCTGTGGCACCAACATAGAGAACGTGTAAACCCCCCCATCGGGTCTGGCCTCACAGATCTCTTGGTGCTTTCTGGATTCTTCCAACGTTAACCAGGAGGTCACATTCGTGCCCTCTCTTCTTTCCTATCA